ATAGGAGGGTTGACTGGAACAACTTGGAAAAAAGTACAACATAAAACCCACTGCCGTCCAGTTGTTTGCAACTCATAGCGACCCTCTAGGGCAGAGCCGAGAGGCTCTAGGGTTCCTGAGACTGTAAATCTTGAAGGGAGCAGACAGCCTCATCTGGTGGGCTTGAACTACCAACCTTACAGCCAACAGTCCAACAGTTAACCTATTGCAAGTACATGTGGGGATTTTACCCCTTCACCTCCTAAAAACACTATCTCCTTCCCTGGGTGCCTAGTCGCATTGCCTTCTGCCCTTCTACCCAGCCACAGTGCACAATCTGTCCCCTCAGTACTAGGATTCTAAAAGTAGAAACCATCAGAAACAGTGTGTCCTAAACTTGTCTCAATTATTAGGATTTACCATCATCCCCACTTGGGAGAGTTTAGAGTTTACAACCCTCCCCTAAAAACTGAAAGGGACTTCATCAGTTGGAACCAGGAACTATGGAAAGGAGGAAGGAGCTGCCCCATAGTAGGCTAAAAAATAGCTAGAGACATCCCTGTAAACACTGAGTCAAGAGGTCTCAAGGGAGATGTTGGTGGAGGGGAAGTTTCCCATGGAAACCAGAGGCTTAATAGCAGGCAGAGCTGACACACAGGCAGGCACAGATTCCAGGTTCTGCCTCAAAGTGTTAAGGATAGCAGGTGCAGGAAGTCTGCCTTCAAGATAGGAGGCTGAAGCAGCAGGGCAAAGGTCCATCCTGAACAAATCAGCCTTTTACTACTTCCAGGGCCCTGCTATGGAGTCCTGGTGGTGTAGTGGTTATACGTTGGGCTGCAATCTGCTTTGTCGTTAGTTTGAAACCACCACTTTCTATGCTCGTAAACCTATGGGTGGTGGGGTGATCACTATGAGTTGACATCGACTCTACTGCAGTGGATTTGGTTTTGGGGGGGCCTGCTAGGATCCTCCTCCCAGGGCCTCAGAGAAAGGTGAAGCAGGAAGGAAAGAGCTCTAGTAATTCTGCACAGGCTAAGGGGATTTGCAAATCCTAAGGTGGACCCCAACCTACTAAAAGAAGGGTCTTGTTTACTTGAAACAAATTGGATTTTGCCCCTTAACCACAATTGTTCTCTCCACAGACTACCCACCGGTCCCCTATATTCCCCTTCCTCCATATTTGCTGGGTCCTTCTTGTTTATGTTCCCGTACTGGAGTTCTGGGCCTTCAGAGTCCTAGAGTCTGTAATAAGTCTGTCCAGGATGATCCCAGCGATGTGTCCTTCACACTTGCTGATTGTCTTCGTCGTTGTTCAGGCGTCCTTGCTGGGCCTCCAGGGTGCTTTCTCCAGGCTGTAGAGCGTCCAGGAAGATCCCTAGAACGCCGCCTCCGGCCTGTCCGCGGGCCAGGAAAGGAGGAGAGAACTTCGACCGATCGCACTCGCCGGAAACCACTGCGGGGACGCACAGAGCCTGCGCACGGCTCCTCGCGAAGCGCCCCGCCCGGGCGGTGGGCGGGGCCGGCCCGGGAACGCCCCCTGCGTCCCGCGCGCGTGCGCGGCGGGGGCGGCGCCTCCCGGCGGGGCGATGGCCGCGCGCTGCAGCATCGTTGGGAAAGTGGCCAGGGCTTCGTCGAGGAGCTTCCGCTCGGCCGTGGTGGGTGACGCTCCCTCCAGGGCCAGGGTGTCCGCACCCAGCCCCC